CCGCGCGGGCTCCCTGGCTCTGCGCTGGATCAACCTGGCGGCGCTGTCGTTGCCGCCCTTCGCGCGCTCCGCGCGCGCGCGCGCGCCAAAAAGGAGGGCCCAGCGCGGATCCAGGAAGTCCGCGCGTACCTCCAACATGGCCATGTTTTTTTGGTTATTCCTCCTGCTCCTCTGCCCTCGCTCCCCCTCGTTCCTCCCTGCCTGCCCCTCCTTCACCCCCCTCCCCCCCCCCCACCTCCTCCCGCCTTGCTCCCTCCGCCGCGCTGCCCTCCCTCGCCAGCCTCGTCGAGGTCTCTCCGTCCGCGTGTTTTTTGTTGTTTCTGCCTAGGCCAACGTCGGTAACAAAGACCTCGTGCTTGCTGCCGGCGGGGAAGAATGGCATAAACACAAATGTTCGGCTCCCCGCGCGGATTTCCCGTATAGGCGCCAGGGCCCCTTGCTGGTGCCTTCAGCGCCGCCCCTGGCTCCAAAGGTCGTAAAAAATGCGGCCTTATTCACGATAGCCATAAGTGCGTTGCATCCCGATCTAAACAACGTTAGCCTGGCGTCGACCGCTTCGAACATGGCCAGGGTATCCCATCCCACCCCAAACGACCACTGTCCAATCCGAAGTGCCGCAGAGCGCGCCAGTGGCGCTCCGTGCGCCAGGGAGGGGGGTCCAGCGCCGATCCAGGAAATCTTCGCGGAGCTCCGAAAGTCCATGTCTGTGCAGTTGTCTGTGCAGTTTTCTGTTGCTCCATGCAACAAGTGGTAAGTCGGGCCTGTCCCTCTACAGGAGGAAGGTTCAAGGCTAGTCAAACAATAGTCAGTGGACGATGTTTTGATTCTTTAGGCTTACGCCACACCGCCGACCCCTTGTTTTTTTTGGGAGGCAATCTTGGACGTCTTGGGGGCGTCATGGCCCGACTTTATCCCCCGCATTCCTATCGTCGTCGTCTTTGCTCCTCCTCCCAGTAGTCGGCCCATCCCGCCACCGTGCCTGAGTTGTGGTTCAGAGGCCTCTCAGATATTCGTTGGGATCTCGTGAGAAGCCTCTCGGGGGCCTGCTGGAGGCAGTTTGGAGGCACCTGGGGAGCTGTTTTGGAGCTTATTGTAGCTTTTTTGGGGCCTCTTGGGGGCCTCTTGGGGCCTCTTGGGGGTCTCTTGGGGCCTCCTGGGGGCCTTTTGGGGCGGAAAGCTGTTTTTTTCGCTTCGTGGTCTCCCTCTTGGGCCCCTCTTGGGCTGGCCTTGGGGCTCTCTTGGGGCCTTCTTGGGCTGTCTTGAGGCTCTTTTGGGCCGTCTTGGGGTCCTCTTGGGCCGTCTTGGGCCTGCTTGGGCTGTCTTGGAGGCCTCTTGGGCCGTCTTGGGGCGGTCTTGGGGGCCTCTTGGGCCGTCTTCGAGCGTCGGAAGCCAGAAAAGGTGAGAAAGCCAAAAACATTCAAAAAACCAATGAGAATCAACGGTTCTCGCCTTTTGGGGCCTCTTGGGAGGCCTCTTGGAAGCCTCTTGGGGCGTCTTGGAGGCATCTTGGGGCGTCTGGAGGCCATTTTGAGCGTCTTCGAACGATTTTTCGGCGTCTCGGGGCCCTCGTGGGGTGTCTGGGAGGCTTCTTGGGGCCTTCTTGGCCCGTCTTTGGGCCCTCTTGGGCCCGGAAAAGGCCCGTGACGCGCTCGTGGTGGGCACCCCCCCCCCTCCAAATCGACCGGACCGGGTTCCCGGGGGAGGGGTTTGGGGAGGGGGAAGCATCTCACACGCCGATGATCCCCAAGTACGACTAGAAAGATGCGGGGGAGAGGCTTTGCAGGGCGTGCGCCCGCAACGAGAAGGGTGGGCGGAACGAGAAGGCGGATGCAGAGAATCGCAAGCGGAAAGCAGAGGCGGACGCGAAGTCGCTGACGTGCGCGGCGTGCAAAGGCGCGTTCTCGGACACGAAACATTTGAAGCAGAAGCAAGTGGAACATCATCGAGCGGCGAAAGGAGCTAAAGTGGTGTGCAGAAGCTGCGAGGAGCTCGGGTTCACAGCGCGCAGTTGCCAGGCTTATCAGTGCAGCGGCGCGTGCAAGAGAGGACTACCAAAGTCGGCGTTCCCCGACCCGCACAATGTCCCGCGCGACGCAAAGAAGGGCACCCTAAAGTGCAAGACGTGCAAATGATGCCCAATCGGTTGCGCGTACTGGGCAGAAAAGGGAGGACGGGAAGAGGAGGATGGGGGGTGAGGCGGAAAATGGGGGGGAGAAGTCTGTGGACGATGATTTGATTTTGTTGCGCACTCGCTGGGTACTGCTTGACAGTGCTGCATTTCTCGTGCAAAGTCCCCCCTGGTAGGGGGGGCAGGCCCGACCTGAAAACGGGTGCCCCTGTTTTGGGGCTTGGGGGGCACGCTGCCCCCCCGTCGCCCGTCGTGTCCCGTGCCCGGACAGGTGTTCACGTACGGCTTCGTGGCCACGGGCTGGCTGCCCACGGACGAGAAGCCCCTGTTCAGCTCCACCGGGCGGGGCGGGGCGCTGGTGGCTCGCAGCAGCGGCAGCGCAAGCAGTGGCGAAGCGTCCTGGCTCGCCTGCTGGGCCGACCGAGGAGTGTTCTGAGAGCCTTCTCGGCGGTTTTTCAGCGAAGTGTTTTCAGGACATTTCTGGCCGGGACTGTATTGTTTCAACACATCGGGCTTCTGTTCTAAGAGCCCTGGTTTTGGTCAGAGAAAATTGTTGGGTTCTACGAACATTTCGTCGTATGCCTATAGGAATGCCGGGGCGGTCTGTTTCTGCGAGTGGCTTGCAACAGCGGCAGCAGGAGGGAGTGGATGAGCAGGAGAAACGGATGGCGGTTGTGATGATGACGACGATGCCACTGCCGCTGCTGCGACGGAAATCGCCGTCCGCTCTCGAGGCCGAGCGTCACGGCGACAAGCACGAGTGTTGGCTCACCAGGTCAGGTGACATCTCGCAGATTGCGTTTGGTGGAAGTCACACTGCTCTGACAGGCTGGTTTTGTCCAGATGCTGCCGCTATCCCTTGCTCGTCGTAGGCTCGACAGCAAGAAATATATCCACAGTTTTTCGAGGCGTTTTTTTGTGCGATGTGATTCGGATTTTAGGAAGAACTCGCGATACTTGGCGCGTGGATCCCGAACAACGGCCGGGACTTTTGTGGGAGACCAGAGATCAAATCTTTTGGGACCGTCTAAGACGGGAGCGACAGGAAATCAGGATATCCCAACCTTCGGGCCAGGAACGTGTTATGGCGGGGCCCGTTTTGCGGCGATTCGGAGACCTTAGCATTCACACCAGGTCCGTGCATGGCCACAGAAGTATGGGCAGGACAGGGGATTCGGAAATTCGTGCCAGGAGTTTGCCCCGGACCGTCTGTCTGGCATCGCTCGGACGTGTGCACTTTTTCTCGGCGGGGACCATCGAGGACCGTCCTGGACCATCGAGCAAAGAAAACGCGCACGAAGCCGACAAATGCGCGGGAAACGAGCGTCCGAGCGACGGCAGGTATGAGAGCGGCAGCATCCCAACAGTCGGGCCCAGGTGTCTGGCGGCGTTCAGAGCCGACAGCCAGGCACCGACTTTTGTCGGGAGCCTTGAGATGGGGGTCAATGCAAACGGGGGTCAGCCAGGGTGCCAGATCCTGCAGGATCCTGCGAGGACCCCCTCTGGCTGACCCGGGTCAGCGAGCCGCTCGTGGCCGCGAGGCGGCCGCGCCTGTTGGCTGACCCGGGCTTGCCAAGACCTGCGTTGCAGCTTTTGTTTCTCTCCCTGCAGTGCAGTTCTTGGTTTCCTGCTGACCCGGGTCTGGATTGACCCGGGTCCGAAGATCCCCGACTTCTGCCCCAGACTTGCCGGCGCGAGCGGAGACCTCAGCACGCACGGCGGGGTCACCCACGGCCGACCGGGCAGTCTGATGCTGCCAGCGCAGGGGCCCCAGAGGGTGGTACTACAGTCGGGGCGTTGACCTAAGCAACCCTAAATAAGGAACGAGGCCCCTTTTTTCCATGGGTCAAACTTTGATCTCCCGTCGAAGACAGAAGGGAAACCTGAGGCAAGCTGTGAAACACTTAAGGGACACGGAGCCCCTCCCCAACGAAAAGGGTTCTTTCTTCAGCGACCCGACTGTAGTTTGGCTCTTTCAGTTCCGCTGCCTGCCTACCTTCTGCCCTCCAACAATTGCTCCCTGGCCTCAGCTCATCACCCCCACTCTATGCCGTCTGGTCTGCACTCTCCACTCTCGACCCTCAAGTCCTACTTGGTTCGTCTGCTGGGTCCGTTCTGGCTCAAGCCAGGGAGCCAGAGAGTGCTCCGCAGCGCTGTTTCGGGCCGCCCCCGACATGCGGAGGACGTCGGAAGACGCTGTTGAGCGTCGACCCGACGTCGTGCCCTCCGCTGCATCCCGCGGCGACTCCGCCAACCGGATGCAGCCGTCGCTGCGCCAGGCCCTGGCTTCTTTCCCGAGCCCCGCCGCCACGCCCGGCGCGGCGGCCGCCGAGGCCCTGCGCGCCCCGCCCCCGCACGCCGCCCCCGGAGGGCCCGCCCGCACCGCCCGCCCGCCCGCGCTGGGCCCGCTGCTGGGGCACACGCCGCGCGAGCAGCTGCAGGCCATCCTCGCGAGCCTGCGCGAGCGCCAGCTCCAGGCCGGAGAGGGGCCGTCTGGCAGGGCCTCCCAGATGGGGGTCCGAGCAGATGGGGCCGGAGCATCGCGCCGCACCGCAGGGGCATCGCCGGTGCGGCTCGGTGTGGGGGGCCCGAGGTGCTTCACGCCGACGTCGTTGGCTGGTGCATCGCCGATGGATCGCCGATGTGTCGGCGATGCGGCGCGATCCTCCGACCCCATCTACTCGGATCCCATCTGGGAGGCCTTCAGAAGAGGTGCTGATACCGCCACCCCTGGTATCATTTCCCCCTCTGTGGGCTTCTCGGGAGGCCCTCGTCGCCACGGCTGGGTTCGCCTCGAAATCCTGGTCAGAACGCAGCCCAGGAAGAGGTCCGGGGAGTAGCGGTACTGGTACCTTGTGGATTCCCCATCAAGGGCCCCGTGCGCTCGGCCCACCCCGCGAGCCAGCAGCCGAGGCGCGCCGGCATCGTGGCCGGCAGCACGGTCGCGTACGCGGCGAAGGGCATCAGCAATGAGCGCAGCCAGGACGGCGGCGACTCCTCGGGCCAGACTTCGCCTCGTTCCTCTGGCTCGTGCAGCAGCCTGGCTGGCAGCTTCCCTGGCCGGTTGGGGGCTGCCATCGCTTGCCCCGAGGCAGCCGCCCCAGAGGGCTTCTCCAGCCTGGGCGCCAGGCTGCACGAGCTGGGCCGCTGCACGCCGTGCAAGTTCCTCCGCGCCCTCCGCGGGTGCCGCCTCGGCCTGATGTGCAAGTTGTGCCACGAGCCTTAAGTCGGGCCTGTCATTCTACAGGGGGAATATTCAAAAATAGTTTAAAACATAGTCTGGGAACGATTTTTCGATTTTTTTTTTAAATACCATTTTGGAGCATTTGTTTAGTACTTCTTATTTTTCCTCGACAATCCCCGACTTAACACGAGCCGCACAAGGAACTCTCGAGGTCTGCGGTGCGGAAGGCGGGTCGCGTCAAGGCCATGGAGTGCCGCGCCATGGTCGAGGAGGCGGTGGCCGCGAAGGCGGCGATGCCCGGCGGCGTGCCCGAGACGAGCGCGCTGGACTGCCAGCAGGCAGCGGCAGCTCCTCGGCTGCTCGACAGCTTCAACTGTGCCCCTGGCCTCGGGCAGCCCGGTGTCGACGTCTGAGCCGGAGGCGGGGGCCAGCTCCAGCCACGGCAGCAGCGAAGGGCCGTCCTTCCACTGCCAGGGTTTGTCCTGTTGAAGTTGCTCGGCGTCGCTCGGACCTGTGAATTTTTCCTTCGGCGAGGACCATTGAGAAGCATCCTTGATCAGTTGGCGAAAAAACCGCACACGAAACCGAACAAAGCACAGGGAAGGGACGTCCGAGCGATGACCAAGTTGGGGATGCCTGTCGGCACTTCGTAGCCGCGGCGTGCCTGGAGCAGCCCTCGCTGGCGCTCGAGGCGCGCACTGCGCAGCCCAGCTGGCTGCTGGCGCTTGGCATCGCTCGGACGTGTGCATGTTTCCTTCGGCGAGGGAGGACCATCGAGGAGCATTTTTAGGGGAACAAAACAAATACATAAACGTAGAAACTCGGAGGCCCGCGCGGATTTCTCGGATCCGCGCTGGAGCCCCCTGGCGGCGCCTCCGGCGCCGCCCCTGGCGCGCTCCGCGCGCCAGGGAGGGGGGGTCTGGCGCCGATCCGAGGAATCCGCGCGGGCCTCCGAGTTTCTATGCTCATGCCATTCTTCGTTCCCCTGGTGCTTGGCCATGTGGCAGAAGCCACGCACGATCCCGAAAGAAGCACAGGGAAGGGGCGTCCGAGCGATGGCCGGGGCACCGCGAGCCTCTTGACGGGGCCCGGCGGCCCAAGGGAGAGCCAGCCCGTGCGGGCGCGGCGCGCTCCTGCAGGATCGCGGCAGCACCGGCGCGCCGCTCGGCGCGCCCGCCCCGCTGGGAGAGGAGGGGAGGAGAGCTCGGCATCGCTCGGACGTGTGCATTTTCCCTTCGGCGAGGACCATCGAGGAGCATCCTCGATCCTTTGGCCAAAAAGCCACGCACGAAGCCGAACAAAAACACGGGGAAGGGACGTCCGAGCGATGGCGAGAGAGGACCTCGGGCCGGACGAGCGGGGGGGGGCTTGGGAAAGGGGGGCTTAGGAGATCGTTGCCTGCAGCTGGTTTCGGCCTCACCGAGGGGCCCATGCCTCGAGACGTGGCCGCCTCCGGCGCCGGGAAGGTCAGCTGCGTGAGCTGATTCTCAGACCCCCCCCTTTGCTATCCCCCCCTTTCGCCCGACCCGAGAGGAGGGAGAAAGAGCCAGAGTTGTCACCACCCACCAAACCACCCCAACCCAAACCGAAGGCCTCAATTTGCCCTCCATTTCCAGTGGGGGGGGGGTCGGGGAGCATCGAAAAAACACGTATGGAACCCTTGCCCCCCCCCCAAACCCGAAATTCGGGCCTTCGGGTTGGGTTGGGGTGGTGTGGTAGGTAGTCGAGTTGGAGGAGGACGCCGAGTTCGGGCTGGCTGGAGGCTGTGCCACCGAGCGAGCCTCTGGCCCACGGGGCTCTCCCGGCGCGCGCAGCGGTGCAGCACTTTTTTTGCCGAGCGTCGTGGGCGCCGAGGCGTCGCGCCGCTCGGCGCTCCCCGCGACAAAGCAGGAGGGGAAGAACACACTCAGACACAAGTAACCCCAGGGAGCATTTAAGAACCCCCCCGGCGATATCTTAGCACCGCATTTTTATTCGATATTCCGAGGGGCCGAAATAACCGCACGATAGGTTTAGCACCCGGACACACAACAAATTCGCGGAGGCCTGGCCCCTGGGCTACAATCGAAATTCGAAATTCAAATCTGCGTGGCTCTCATGAAAGACTCAGGAGGAGGAGGAGGAGGAGGAGGAGGAGGAGGAGGAGGAGGAGGAGGAGGAGGAGGAGGAGGAGGAGGAGGAGGAGGAGGGCAGGAGGAAGTTCGTGGGTGGAGGAGAGGAGGAGGAGGAGGAGGATGAGGAGGAGGAGGAGGAGGGCTCCTGGTGCCAGGTAACGCTTCCAGGTTGCGGAAGGGTTATCGATTTGCCGGAAGGGGGGGGGTTCTTAAATGCTTCCTGGGGTTAATCGTCGACTCCCAGGAGAGTATGGGAAGATATGGGACGTGGGGGGGAGAGACGACGACCCAGAAAGTATGGGAAGCTATGGGGAAGCCTATTGTGTTTGTGTGTGTGTGTATTCATTTGTGTGTCCTTGGGCCCCATTCAACGATGGGGGGCAGGGGGCTGCTGCTGCTGCTGCTGCTGCTGCTGATGCTGCTGCTGCTGCTGCTGCTGCTGCTGCTGCTGCTGCTGCTGCTGCTCACGGCGGACTTAGTCGTAGACCTGACGCCGCCCCCAGCCCTGCCCCGAAGCGTGTGTCGGGACGCAGGGCCTGCTCTTGAAGGCGGCGCCGCCAACCGAAAGGGGGGGGGGGGCCCTGGAGGCGAGGGAGACACGACGCACGGGGGCGGCACGGGAGGACGGCAGCAAGAGGAGGAGCGGGCAGGGAAGAGCGGCAGGCACGACGAGGCGGGAGGAGACGAGGGAGAGGTCCCAGCGATCCGCCGAACACCCCGAGCGCCACCCCACAGAAGGGTGCGGGAGCTCGGTGCCGTGCCTCGGGCGCGTGGGCACCTCGTGCGGAGCAGCGCGGGCGCGAGGAGGAGGAGGAGGAGGAGGAGGAGGAGGAGGAGGAGGAGGAGGAGGAGGAGGAGGAGGAGGAGGAGGAGGAGGCGGCGGGATCAAGTGGGAGGGCGCTAGAAGGGGTCGGTCAGAAGCTAGGGGCGAGGTGTAGAGGCCGTGCCGGTGTGTCCGTGCTCCTCCCCGCACCCAAACCGACGTCCTCCCCGGACTTGAGCCAAAATGGCTACGGACCTCCTCCTCCTCCTCCTCCTCCTCCTCCTCCTCCTGCTCCTTCCCCCCCTCCTCCTCCTCCTCCTCCTCCTCCTCCTTCTGCTCCTCCTCCTCCTCCTCCCCCTCCTCCTCCTCCTCCTCCTCCTCCTCTAATCCACGACGTCCTCCTCGAAGCGGCGCGCCGCGCGCCGAGGCCGCCGCTCCGCCGGGTAGCGGTGCGCGGCGGTGGGCGTCGGGGACGCGCCGGCCGCGGGCCAGCGCGGGCAGACCGCCCCGATCGTGTACGTTGTCGTCCACCCATCGGCTCCTCTTCCTCCTCTCCTTCTTCTCTGCCCCCTAGGTATAGGGGAACAAAAAGTGGCATAAACATGAAAACTCGGAGGTCCGCGCGGATTTCTCGGATCGGCGCTGGACCCCCCTCCTTGGCGCGCGGAGCGCGCCAGGGGAGGCGCCGGAGGCGCCACCGGGGGGCCCCAGCGCCAATCCGAGAAATCCGCGCGGACCTCCGAGTTGTTATGCTTATGTCACTTCTTGTTCCCCTAAGGTAACCGCTCTTTCTGGCCCAGCCTGGGGTGGCACCGCCGCCAACAAGCCCGCCCCGCTTCGGGTGGCGGCGTCCATGCCAGCGTGAGCTGCCAGGCTTTAGAACGGGGATAGGAGGGAGGAGGGTGAGCAAAACGATGGACGGAGAAGCGGGGCGCTCGGCCGCAGCGTCGTGGCACCTCCAAGCAAGTTCGTCTCTGCACAAGCGCACCCAGCGAGGGGGGAAAGGAGAAGGACGAGAGGAAAAGGGCAGGCAGAAGGGGAAAGTTGGCGAGGTAGCGTGGCCATTTGCGAAAAGAGCAGGCTGTGGCGAGAATAAGGTTCCTCCACCAAACTCCCTCCCAATCCGCTCAAACCCCCAAGATGGTCACCTTCACTGGCCCAAATGCGGTGCGTAGAAAAGCGGGGCGCTCGGCAGTAGCGCCGCGGCACCTCTAAGCAAGTTCGTCGCTGCATCGGTGGCGGCGGGACAAAATATGAAACCGTTCTGGTCAGACATCGGCACACGGCGGGGACAGGCGGGCCGCTGTGAGTGATCCCCCTGGACAGGGCGGGCCCAACGGCGGCTGGGGCTAGGGTGTCCAACATTGAGCATCACTTCTGACCCCGCGAGTGGCCACGCGACCTCGCGTGGACCGCTTGCAGTGGCAGGCATGTGGTCCCGAGGGAGGGAAGTGAGCGGTATGGGGCGCGTGCGGTAATTCAACGCGTGCTCTTAAGTACAACAGCAGTCGAACCTGCCCGACGGCAGGCTGAAGTGGACTCGAGACTTATTCGTGCATCTTCCTAACGAATCATGGATGGTATGTGAGCGAGATGCGGCGCCAGGGGCTCTGGCGGCAGGCTGGCAACAGCAAGTGCTGCAGGCTCTGGGCTGGACCACCAGAGCAAGGCCCTTACTGCCTGCAAGGGTAAAAGAATTTACAGTCAAGACGCTGAAATACGGAACAGTTTGGATTCGGGAGGGGCTCGATGTTCCTTACGTCCTTCCGCGGTTGTTCCTCTAGCCCTTCTCGTGCACCCAGGCTTTTTTAAAGCCGCAGAGGGGCTTCGTTCCTTATTCAGCGTTCCTTATTTCAGCAGCCCGACTGCATGTCGATGCTGAAGTCGTTGCCGAGACAGAAGGGAAGGCGGCACGGGGATGCACAGACGGAGGAAACGATGGGGAGGCATGTGTAGCGCGGTGGCTCGGCACTCGGCCGTCGACGCGCTGGCGTGGCTGAGGTTGCTTCTCTCAACACTCCAACTGGGAAAGTCGCGGTGCTGCCAGGGATGCAAGAGTTCGCCCCTCCCCCAGATGCACCAAGCCCGTCCCTCCCCGAAGCACAGGAGCAAGAAGGAGAAGGAGGAAGGGGAAGGCTGGGAGAGGGCCTCCCACGGTTGGCCCCCTGGGAGGTCGAATCGGACTCTGCGTTTCGAGCGCTCTGGGTCCGCCCTCCCTCGGAGCGGAGGCTCACGTAGCCCAGCGCTGGACCTCGGTGGTGATCCGCTGACGGCCCTTCGGGCTCGAGCTCGGTGGTCTGGTCCACCGTCCTAGCCTGTTTGGGGCCGGATTCCCTGAGCTGGTCCAGCCGTGGTGAGACGAGCGGGGTGCTCGGGGACATAGCCCGAAGGGCCAGGTGTGGGGGGGGGCGCCAAGGGGGTCCCGATTGGGGGGGTCCCATCTTTTTTTTTGTTTGCCTTTTCCCTACCTAGGCTCTGCCTAGAAGGGTTCTTACTCTCTGGGCTTACAGGGGCCGGGCAGTGGAAAGCGCCCCGGGCGGTTCCCCCAGTATCCGCCCCGCGGTTCCCCCAGTTACGTCCCCTTTAGCTTAGCGTTGCTTATCTCTTCTTAG